CCAATTTCCGTTTTTAATAATTATTTTCTGCTATTATTGCTGAAAGCTGAAGGTTTTTTAATGACACTGCAAATTTCTTTAAAATTTTTGCGAATAGGAATAAGAAAAAAGTAATTGTTTTGTCTTCATCGATACTATTAAAAAACATTTTTCAACAATTAATAAACATCTGGACATACCTACTTTTTAAAATGTTTTTTTTTTCTAATCCTTACATTAACGAAAAGATAAATCTTACCAATGATAGATTGCTAAACGTGTGCCTGCTGTCGTCATGTAACATAATTTTTAAATCGCTGAATGCTGAATTTCTTATAGTTGGTCCCAAATTCGCGCCTATCCATTTATTCTGAAAATAAATATGTGAACATAAATTTAATTATTACCTATTTTTATGATTGTATGCAAGTATAATTAATTATGAATAATTATTTATACATATGTATATACATAGACAATAAATTTCAGTGAACAATAGTCATTGTTAATATGAATGATAGCAAACATCTACAGGGCCTTCCTTGTTGAGGTTAGCACAATTCGGACGATATTGCAACTTTAAGATGACTTACTGATACCGCTGTTCTTAAATAACCTTCCAAACCAGTATCAAAGGACCACGCGTACAGTTAATGGAAATCGGCAGTCCGTCAAATTGTCCTGACCCAAAGTTGTCATGGGCCCAAGACCCAAAAATGAATATTTATCGAGATAAGCGACATTGAAAGTAAGCGAGTCCCATTGCGCTTATAAATAGTCTTTTTCACGGAAAACCGTATGGATCTTCTTCTCTATCTCTTTCTCTCTGAGAGAAACAAAGCCAGTTCGCATGTGGCACCTTCCTCTCGAAACAAAGAGAAGATTTTTGAAGGGATAAAAAAGCAGGCGTAAAAGCAAAGTTGAAAAGTGGTCATAAAATTAGATAAAGGTATGTAAAGTAAAAAAGTTGTCAAGAAGAAAAAAATCAGGAACGATGAAAGAAAAAAGTAAGCGCAAAGGAAAAAAGCGTACATAAAAAATAACCAAGCGGATAGAAAGTAAAAACAAGCATGTGTCTAATAAAAAAGACATACGGAATGTCAAAAAATACAGGCACAAAGAAAAAAGAAAGGAACTCGCCTTGTTTCTCTCATACGGCTTTCTGTAAAAAAGACCATGTCGCTTATCTCGATAAGTAATCATTTTTTGGTCTTGTGCCCATGACAACTTTTGATCAGGACATCTCAAACTATAACATATTTCATTTTCATACAATTTGACGGGTTACCGATGTCCATTAACTGTGTGCGCGGTCCTTTAGTATACGTTTTTGGACACTTATATTAGGGTCAAATCACTTTATCGGGTCCGAGGGAAGTGAGGATCGCAGGGGGGGTCCTATGCTCTTTTTATGGGACTAAAACCTGCCATCAACTTGAAAAAATTAAATTCTATTGAAATTATTTGCGATAAACATTATCTATATAGCAAAGAAATCTACTCAATATGCACATAACATACACATTGAAAATTAACAACATAAAAATGTCATATTTAAGTATTTTTAAATTATATTTAATGAACGCATAAACACTATGTATATGTGACAACAGCGCTAATAATCGAGTGCAGTTGTACACACTGCGAACCTACAGACCTCGGACATCGGAGGTATTGCGCGTCAAATTCGGGTAAAACTGCCTACGCGTTCAAAAATGTATTGTGTGTAAACTATGAAAAATATAATTATTATATATAGCAAATATATATAATTATCCTCGCGAAGCGAAGATTTGTATCCTTTATTTAAAATCCGTAAATCATGTGAACTGGTAAAACAACGAGAAAATAATTATGTTAATTTAGTTCTAAAGAAATGAAATGACACTCGCGCCCATCTCTCGTCCAAGTCAAAGAAAATGTTGGATGCAATTTTGAAGGTTCTGTGATAGAGATTACATTATTACTCACTATTCGTGTTGTTCATCTCTATTTTAGTAATGTTACAAAAGTTTTGCAACTATAACTGATATTTTAGATATCAAGTTTGCTGAGAAATATTTATCTTCCTTTGTTATTCTGTACAAATGCTTTTATCTCAAGTATTACTAATTATATTAATCAAATAAAGAAACCTTTATGTAACCCTAAATATTGCTGGGTACGAATTACGATGTTTTTATAAACCATTAAATATATTAAAAGGATTTACGACTGTATTTTTTATTCCAATAAATATATCACAGCTTTTTTAATTAATTTAGTTTTTTAAAAACATTACAAAAAATAATCTGTTGCGGATAATTTATTGTTGATAACAATTTACATGGGATAAAGGAAAAATGTATATGTTTGAAATCAATTTCGTTTTTATCAAGTTTTTCAAATGTATTCCCTCCTTGCTGTCAACTGATTGCGACGTTGCCACGTTGTTAATCCTCAAGTCAGACAGAAATGCAATTATTGGTTTCTGTTTCTGATTAATACAGCTGTATTATGTTCTAAACTTACATTAGTTTTACATCAAAAATAAGATAATACTATGGAAAAGTTTTGTTTCACAATTTCTACATTTTTTCTCAGTTATGGGCAAAAAAAGAGCCACACCGTCCATCTTCGCCATATAAACGTATGTTAAAATGAACAACTTTCAACAACAATATCTCAAAATCTAGATTCAAAAAAAGTTTCAAAAAAATATGACGCACAGAGGGAGCACTGGGTAATACGCTAAATAAATTTCAAGTACATCTGTGCATTTTAGTAAACCCGATATACTTCCTTAATAAGAAAAACTGTGGAATTTTCTTTTCCTCTCTAAAAATGTGATCCTATCATGAAATTGTGATAAATAATTAATTTGTTACTTCCGTAAAATTTTGGTTAAAAGACAAAGTTTTCAATAAAAAATTTTAAATGTGCCATGCTATATTATATTATGTGCAAGAATAACATATCAAAGTAATGCATCAGAAAATAATAATATTGCTTTTTAAACGCCGAAGAAAACTATTTAACACATTTCAAAAATTGCGAACACATAATAAAAAATAGAGAAAATGAATTTAAAAGAGACAGACCATTTATAATACCTATCATTATACCGAAAAACGCCGCAACCATTAAAGAGTGAGAAATTGACATTAATGGGTCTAAGATAATATAAACTTATCTGATAACAATGTGAAGCTTAGCTCAAATGACATTTATCTCTATAATGAATCATGCTTTCTTATCACATTTGTTATTTACTTATGATATCAGATTTGTTATTTACTTATTTTTGTTGCAAAATTATTATTTGACAACACTGGTTAATAAATCTTTTAATTTAAAATCTGACTAGGCTGTTGGACTTTACCTTCTCTCAATTGGGTTTGTACCAAAGTTCATTAAAAAACGTCCACTTTAATTATAAAATTAAGTGCGTTTTATTGGTATAATGCCACCTGTGTTACCTGATATTTTAAAACTACTTCATGTTTAAAATTCTACTTTCACAGATTTAGAGGTTGTGTGTGTGTGAATGTGGATTGATGGCTTTGGTAGACCAATTAGCCAGGGCTATTTATTTAGAGGTTCATGAAATACACGGTGTTCCATAAGCACATGATCAAAAAAGTACTGCGACATTCTTTGGCTCACAAGAAGACGATTTGACCTAACTTCCATTAAGAAAAAATGTCTGGCTCCTCTGCTATTGACTGTCAAAGTTCTTGAAAAAAATATGTATTTTGTAATATATGGAGAATGTTACGATGGATTTTAATGAAACTTGCTGTGGACTTGTTCCTAAGTAAAACTCATGTTTTGATGAAGCAACCGCGTCCATCTGCCTTGGACTAGTGGTAAATTCTTGAGTGTTTTGGTACAGGAATTACCAGAACTTTTTATTTGGTCGCTGGAATCAATTCATTTTATTTTTATTGATGCATCAGTCTTTTTCGAGATTTTCCTGCTCTTGGTAAAATCTTATAGCATTCATAGTTTTTACGCAATTTTTTTTTTTCAATTTTAGACAGTCATTATCACTACTACTCAAGTACAACAACTACTCACTACAACTACTACCATCGTAGAACTAGTAAGCGATGATGCCATTTTATAATAAATGAATTGTCAATCAATTCGTTTCGAATGGCGTTTTCTAATGAAGAGATGACCGACTGATCAAAGTCTTAGGGTTTTGCGAAGACAACTTGGGTGGGAGTGTACGCGTCTACGCGGTGCGATACCCAAATCGACGGGTTCCAGATTACCGATTTACAAGAATTGGAAAGAGTTTGCGGGAGACGGGAATTTGGTGTTCGAGCCGTTGACCGTGTGGGTCGTCCTCAAGTACGAAATGCAGCCGTTGAGGGAGACGTTTTAAATAGGATCGCTGAAGATTCAAATATCAGTAGGTACCCGCCGTCCGACAATGGAATTTGGAGTACCAGAAAGTACAATTAATCGCATCATAAGACAGCAGTTCCTCCATCCTTATCATGCGATGTCTATTCAGGAGCTTTTACCATACCATTTTAATTAAGGAGCGCGGGCACGTGATCCAAATTTCACCAGCCGAATTTTATTCACCATTAAGCAGAAGAAATCCCTCATCGTAACATTCTCCAGGTATTACAAAAAACATATTTTTTTCAAGAATTTTGGCAGTCAATAGCAGAGGAGCCAGGCATTTTTTCTTAATGAAAGTTAAGTCAAATCGTCTTCTTTTGAGCCAAAGAATGTCGCAGTACCTTTTTGATCATGTGCTTATGGGACACCCTGTATATTTTGCAAGAAAATTAGTAAGTATCTAAATAATATTTCAAAAAATATCCCATTTTGATGAAATTCCTATAATGAATGTCGGCATAACTTACTAATCATTAAAAAAGAATATTTATAGTAATATAAAATCATCTTATACGCTAGGCTATGGTTTTGCGTTACCAGAAAGGAGCAGTAGAATTTTCCATTAATGAATATTTAATTATTTAAATATTTTCGTAGTACATTTTCCCATAGGAGGCACTTACCATTTGTGAGGGGGACCAGCCCGCACCACTAGGCTCATTCTGCGTAGTCATACCCCAGAAGGAGATGTTACGCTTATTGTACTCTTCGTAAAACCTCAAATTATAATCGGCCCAAAGTTGATAGTATTCATCTTTAAGACTACCTGTAAACCAATCGTTGATCGTTTTCATCCAAGTTGGCGCTGACCAGGCAGAGGCAAATAGTTTAATATTGTTGTTTCTCAACGCCTTTGCTTGTAGGATAAAAGGAATCTAGAGTAAAATAATATAGAGATTAGTGTACGCTAACTTATAAATTATTTCAAATTGAACGTATGAAGTTATTATACTCGACGTTGATATACGGGGTGTATTTAAATGAAGGGGCTGAAATGATACCACCTTAGGTGAAAATAAGTTGGTTTAACCTAACAGACCTATATCCCAAGTCGCATAATAAAAGGGTGTTAAAGTGAAAAATAAAATATGGTTTTTCCTTAATAATTTCTCAAGTTTTCGTCAGAAATGTTTCAAATTTTCTAGACAGAGGATTTTTTAGGGGTGATCAATATAATATAATAATCATTTTTAATATTTTTTCTGGCCTCGTTTATACTTTTAGTAACAAAATATAAAATATTGGACTTTTTTTAATAAAAAAGTTATACTTATTTAAAATGACAAAGCTGGGAAGATATTTTTGATTTTATAAATTAGTATTTCGGATTTAATTCCTCCCGGAATATTAACGCCCAAAATGGACATTTTTGTTAATACATTCAGAATTTATTAGGTTATCAAATACGACATCTCGAACGACTTTTAAAATAACGCAAAAAGATTTTATTATCTGCCATGCCATTTTAAAGGATATGGATGGATTCACTTCGGAAAATAGTTTATATAAATCCATCCTAAAAATTTTGGGAACAAGTTAAGAGAACCACTATAAACTAAATAATTATTTATCGATATTTTTCTTATACTATTAATTCTGATACAGGTGTGCGAAATTCGGTTGAAGTTCAGACGATTGAAAAATCATAACAAGAAAATATCTAAGTACATTGTTCGAAGTGCAGAATTATACATAGAAATTTAAAGTAATTTGAAATAGTCACTGATTGAGCTTATGTGTGTATATAAAAAAATTTCTAACACCATCTGTCGGAATCCGTTTCATTTTCTATATACAGGGTGTTAAAATTTAGGTAAATAGAATGTATGTTTTTGTCTCAATAAGGGTTGACAAATCAATGGAACTGGTCCACTATTACTCCAGTCGAATTAGATCATACTTAAATACTGAAAGTAAAAAAAAAAAAAATTGTTAGTAGACATTTTATTGAACTTTATGATGGGGAAGGGTAAGTAGATTGATAATTTCAAAAAAGTAAAAGAAGTGACGCTAAGTTCGCAAATTGCAAAAATACGTATTTTTTCACATTTTTACTGCCCATGAAAATCTAGACGACCTATCGGAAAATTAGTTAGGTAATTAAATTACCTACAATTTAAGGTACTAAAGTCATTTTTCACCAATTTGTTAACAATAAATTAAAGGTTATAGCCACTTCTAGTCGGCATGGACTATAGAAGTTTGTTTTGCCTCGGCTGGTCGTAGGTTGGATGTTTAGATGTTCACCGAAGAAGCTTGATATCAGGTTGTCAGAAGGATTGGAAATAAACTTGAATTCAACAGAGACAAAAAAAATATGTTTATTATTTATAAGGCGCCACTAGGGATTATCCAGATGGACATCTCTGTTCTCTTCACTCTCCCCTAGTAGAGTAACTCGGCCATACACAAATTTTTATGGAATATAAAGAACTTACTTCCTACTTACAACTTATATTCTCAGTTCTTATCAGGTACATGTTCCGGATCTATCACAAATATAACGGACAGCTTCCAGTCCAAAATCACACTTAATCCTAGCTCAAATTATGGATTCTACATGGACCAATTTCATTTTACTTCATTCCTATCTGATTCTTATCTCCTATTTAATTGATTCTTATCTATATATTATTATTTTGGAATCTTATCTAACTCTTAGAATCTGGCAAAGCTAAAATTATTTAAAAAAACAGTCCTAATTAGTATAAAAAATAATTGACAGGTGGTTTTGCAAACTATTTTAACATCTAAAACTTACAATTTCTCACATTATACTTAAATTTTGAATACATATTTCAAATAAATGTATACCTTTTGCACGATGTTTGCTGCACGATTTTTAACTAAGACCATATGGAAAAATGTGCTTTATATGTGTAGCGTGGGTTGTTGCCAGCCAGAGCTTCTGGAGGTAAAATGTCGGAGAACTTCCTCCTTCTAATTCTTATACGATAATCATATATCAGTGATACCAATTTACTACTTCCTCTCTGGCTTTGATTTAAATTTTAAAATCCCGTGGCAAACACATATAAAGTATAGGCAACTCTGGTTACAAATCGATGTTTAATCACTAGTATATCGTATCTCTATGATTTATTAATTGACAACTTGTATTAATCTCAAAATTTAACCAGCAATTGGATTTACACAATCACTGCAAAAGTTTAAATTTAAATAACAACCACGGTCATCTAATTGGACTTGTTCTGGACTGGTGTCTACAGAGTAATACATACTTAAGTGCTATACAAAATATCTACATGAACTTAAATCTACAGGTTGGTTATACAACAAAGTTTTCACATAATACAAATTTTCTTAATTACATTGTGGTAAACATAACTACTAAATTTAATTTTCAGACTGGTGCAAAGTTCAAATAAGGCATATGGTATGATATTTTGCAAGTTGATAAGAAACTAATCGATATGATATAACAAAACAAGTGTGTATGTTATAAGATCAAAGGGCGAAAAACCAGTTTTCGAAAATTGCGCATTACTATTGCAAAAAGCGATGGATCTTGATGAAATTTATGGAAAATACGGTGAATCCAAAGACCAACATGTATGCCAAAGACCGATTCGTTTAACCGTGAAATTGTTGCTCCAGGTTAATTCATTTCGTTCGTTTTCTGCAACTAATTGTTTAATTTTTAAACGCTAATTTTAGAAGTTAATATCGTAATTGATCCAAAGAAACGTGTCGAAACGAAATTCAAAGAGTTGAAATTAAGGAACTCTTTACCACTAACAAAGTAGGACATGCAAAACAGTGTTATATACAGGTTGTCTAGGGCTAGGCAAAAGCCGCTCGGGAATTTGCTCTTTTGGCATTAAATAGAGTTTAAATGCAGCAGATTTTCGAGACTCGGTGCTAGTAATAGATTTTTTTTAACCGAATTTGAAACGTTCAAGTCAAAAATCTCGCGAGCGATAGAGAGCGGCGTTCGCGCGCATGCGCTCCCGCATGCGGGCTGTTCATGAACTGCTGCTAGTGCATTTATGCCATGAACTATTAATATAAAACTTTCTGAAAATAAAAGTTTAACCCTTTCTTACGTGCAAATAACAATTAACGTTATAAAAAATCTTAGGAACAAAGAGGCGTAGGTGATTTTTTTTAAATTGCAAAAAGGGCAAATTTCCTAGAGGCCTTTACCTGACCCTAGCACAATGTATTTATAACGCTGTTTTTCACGCCCTACTTTGTTTGTTGTAAAGAGCAACTTAATGTTAACTTTTTGAAAATTTTCTTTTTCGATACGTTTCATTGGATTGGTTAGAACCTATATTTACTATATTAACTAGTAATTAAACAATTAGTTGCAAAGAAAAGAACGAAATTAATTAACAAATACCTGGAGAAACAATTTCACGGCCAATTGAATCGGCCTTTGGCACACATGTTGATTTTTGGATCGACCGTCTGTAGATACCTTAAAGACTAATTTTCCGATAGGTCGTCTAGATTTTCATGGGCAGCAAAAAAGAGAAAAAACACGTAATTTTGCAACTTATTTGCAATTTGCGAACTTAGCGTCACTTCAATCGAGTTACTTTCTTGATATTATCATTCTACATACCCTTTCCCATCATACAGTGCAATAATAATTTTTTTACGTTCAAACTCTAATTCGACTGGAGTATATGTCTAGTGTTCACCTACGTTCGTAAATTTCAGTTAGGTGTTCCCGAACATGTCTAGAGAAATGAGGGGAAAGTGCAGAACCATTTAATTGACTAAGTAATACAATATATCCCAGTATGTCAATCTAGACATTTGAACTAAAGGCTGATGTGTGACTTCAACCACAGCATGTGTATTCTGGTTAGTCTAACCGGGCGTGTTATGAAAATTATACTCAAGTAGGAGAAACTGGACGAATTAGTATAAGCCTTAGCATATAGACGACGAGTCCATTACCATTGGTCTCAGTGGTATGTACATTGTACATATACCGTTAAATAACTTTACAACACAATAAAACAATAAAGATCAAAGTGCAAAGTGCTTTATAAGTAATAATTAACTTTCTCCTTACGTAGTACAACAATAAAAAAATTTGTATTCAAAAATTCATCAACATGCAACAATAAAGAATTAACTCCGAATTTATAGGATTCTACTACTTTTCCGGTTTTACTAAAAATAGAAAGTCAAATTTTGTGTTGTCATGTGCATACCGTCAAGAAGGGTTTTAGTAATTTTTTTGTAATTTTCTTAAAAACGGTGAGTCCTACCGAAAAGATATAAAAACACCTTTTCTATTTAATTTGCCTTACCCTGTCAGAAATTAATGTCCGCTCCTGAATTATCTTAATTCTCATCATACTCGAATTATGTATACTTATAAGGTACTGCTCTACACCAAATCTGAATTGATTAGGTCAACCCCTTAGGAAGATATAAATGAAAACAATTTTTTAAAGAAAACTTTGGCACCCTCAATTTATCTCATTTATCATCACCATTTCAAATAAAATATTAGCTAATGCCTTAAACCAAATTTAAATTGCTTTGGTAAAACCATTTGGATTTTTTTTTCACAAAAGCTTTAACACTGTATTTCGGTAACCAAACGTTTTTAGGCATACTTATGTTTACATGAATATTTAAAAACTGTTTTGGATTAATTAGTCTTTACTAAAAATGTTTGCTCTTTCTTTAACACCCTTTACAAAATTAAATACAAGTTGGTGTTGGAAAGTCTGCATCATTATTTGATTTTATGGTTTTGATATAATCAACTGAAACGTCATATAACATTGATCTAATATAAATAAGGTATCTACGACACAATCGCAGTATTTTTGTTCCGGAATTAATGGTCACTATGAGTGCTTGCTGATCATGTCTAAGTAATGTGCAATAGAATTATTTACCTTATAATCTAAATCATCCTGTTGAAGCGCAAAATGTTCCAACGTGTCGTCCCCCTCAACATCATCATAAGAATATCCTCTTGTTGAAAAGTCAGTTCCACCAATAGGAACCCTGCACAGACTATACGCGATACCGCTGTTACCAAAATAGCTTTCTATTAAATTTTTTTCAGCCCCTTCTGGTAGTAGCTTTATGTTGATACCACCAAATCCGATGATATTTTGATGCTTCGTATCTTGATCGACAGTGATAGAGCTTTCTTCTCCATCAGTATTTTCGACGAAAGATCCGGTGGTGCTGTAGAAGCCTAATTTGGCCTTGCTGGTAGAATACAGTTGATATTTTCCAGTAGATACATCCAATTCTGGAACAGTGTCACAGTATTTTGCATTGCAGACGCAGACACTTCCCTCGTCTGTATCTCTAATGTTACAGCTTTGACTGAGAACTGATGTTACAACCATGGACAGTATTAACAATGGAACCACCATTTTCGTTACTGATTGGTATGTTCCATAAGTACACACTGGCAAAGCCGCGTAGACACTGTTTTATACAATTTTTGTCAAGTTTTAAATGTAATTATTTTGTTTATCTATAATCATACACTTATGTTGAATATCGCAAATTAAATGACTAGCGATTAATGATTATAATCAAGCTCTACTACAAAGAGATCATAAGTACTATTTTTTTACATAGGAATGTTATTCAGGAAGTTCTCCTTAAGAATAGAATTTATAATTGTTATTTGCACATACTTATAAACAAATACCAAAACTTTTAAAAGAAATGGCATTTTGAAGCTTTTAATTTTACTCTTTTTAAAAAATCTATGTTTTTTTGTTATTAGCTCTTGTAACTGTTTATATTGATTGAAAGAAGTACTCTATAGGCCACATGCTGCCAACTAGCATCGAATTTACCAGCAATATCTGGTGAATATTCTAGAATAAAGTAAAAATCTACTCGCCTATCCTTTGCAAATATTGTTTAAGCATTATCACTTTTTAAGTAACCTGTTTTGCGAATTTGCTAAGGCATCAGGATAAAACCGGCTAATAGATGGGTATAATATACTACAAATAATTTATGTATGCATCAGAAACAGAAGATTTATTTTCACATTAAGGGGGGCGTTTTATGCGCTATTTTTAATGAATTTTTTGTCCAATTGTTTAAAAAATCTAAGCAAGTTAGAAACGATATCTCTTCACTGTAGTACTCATACAAGTGTTCTTCAGGGTGTGAGATAACTGACAACACATTTTAAGTAAGGAAAAAAACATATTTTTTATCTTACGTTTCCTGAACTTTACACGACTGTTGAACATACAGATAAACGCGTACGGTATTATAAACATACCCACACCCAGCAGAATGCTTTTAGGATACTGTTTATACATGAATTAATAAGAATTATTGAGTAGTTTTATAAATCAATTGGACAAAACAGGAAAGGTACATGTTCTGATATTTTATATTATCCGTCATCTTTTCATGCCGAACAATTGAAGAAATCCTTCGTATTTCAACATTTCTATAGTTTGGATACTGTCGAAAAGAGGGCCATAGTCACAGTTGTCGTTCTAAGGTATTTTTTGCCGAACCAGAGTCGGAGTAACTTCAATATGTTTGAATTGTATTTGCGTCGATTTTAGATAATATAAAAGAATGCTTGTTTAAATGGGAATATTAAGCTTTGCATGTAAAATAATCGTAATAATAAAACTGTTATTACGAGTTCTTATACGAATACTGTTAGTAGTAAGTACGTTAAAAAATTATAATTCTGACAATTAATAATTAGTCTAACAGTAAAAGAGCTATAAACACAAATAAATTATAGTACTTAATACACATATTTTGATGATAGTCCAGATAATATAATCGGTCAGGAAATTACTAGAGAAGAAAGAATTAGGCAAATGCCATTCGGTATCTGTCAGACTGTCTAAACTAAAATGGAGAGTGAGAAGATAATTAAAATTTCCTACACAGTAGCAGTTTTTTTAGAAGCGGGGGAGTCAGTGCCTCCCTAAGATTTCTTTAAGATATTTTTCACAATTTGATTTTTGTATGTTTTACTAATTATTAGATCCTATATAATTTTAGAAACCATAATTCTGAATACAGAATTTTGTATGTAATAATTACTGTTGCTTGTTGAAGAGTGACTTCATGTTATTATTATATTTTTCTTAAGAAGCAAGCCAAATGAGTTCCCCTAAGGTCTCTTAAAAATATTTTTTACAATTTAATTTTTCTGATCGTATGTTTTATTAGTTTTTAAATGAAATGTTTATAATTAGCCTCTGTTTAAAAAGTAATTGGTTTATGTAGATACTTTACAATTTACAACACATTTTAAAGCAATTGATTCGTTTTCGCATCGTCACGATGAAATAGGTACGGTGGAATACGGAAAGTACAGGTGCACAGATACAACACGCCGGCACGCCTCCGATAAAGTGTTTTTAGAAGTGTTTAAACAAATTATGACAAATCACAACAATTTGAATAGGAAGAAGGTCTTCTTTATGGCGCAGACATTGCTGATTAGGCGAAAAATGGATACTTAAATAGCCGTGTGTCTAAAAAAAAATCGCAAATTTCGTTTACCGCTAACTTCACTCATTTTTCTCGAAATTAAAATTTTTCAATTTTGCGAGTTTATGCCGGAGATAACTCAACGAATTTTCAACGTATCGAAAAAAAAATACCATTTTAAAGGAAATTTAATTAGCTAATCTACTAACATAAAGGATTTTTTGCAAAAACAATGAAAAAACTTTTGTAAATTCTTGAAGTAAGAATATGTTTTCTTGCTCTTAGCGTGAGTCACAATTAGATGTAAAAGTGCTTTAAGATATTTAAATAAATCAGCGAATTGAGAAGTTTTTGGAACAGCCAAATATGAATACAAGCTTATTCTTTATTTAAGAAAGTACCTAATTTAGTTTTTGATATCTGGGGAAAAGTATGTGGAATGATAATATCAGAAAATCGAAACTCGAAAGAAGTGACGCTAAGTTGGCAAATTACAGATAAACGGCAAAATTACATGCTTTTTCATTTTTGTTACTGCCCATGAAAATCTAGACGACCTATGACTTTAGGTATCTTAAATTGTAGGTAATTTAATTGCCTACAACATGAAATAACTAATTTTTCGATAGGTCGTCTAAATTTTCATGGGCAGTAAAAACAAGTGAAAAATAGTATATTACACACCGATATGGAAAGTATTTCATTCTTGTCGAGAGAAAAGCGCGTAGCGCTGAGGCGAACCATTTTTCGAGACAAGGATGAAACTTTTCACCGAGGTTTGTATAATATTTTATTTACAACCATATATTTTAAATGCAAGTTGGCATTTTGTAATGGTTACTATGGCACTAAGAAAAGTCAAATATACAAACTCAAATTAGTTCATAGACCTTATAAACTACTGGACTCGCCCAACTGTCATTTTCCCTATATAAACGGCAATTGCTCGGACGTGTGCGAGAGAGATGGAGCTAGTAAGGGCTTAAGCTTCGTTTACAGAATTTCGATTGCAGCGCGCTACATTTAATTCAACCAATCAGCTAGCTATACTCGATTCCTTACCCCTTTTTTCTGTTGGGCCGTATTCAAAGACTTTATAAAAATAATATAGAGACTAAAAGACAAAAAATTTTCATTTTTTCCAGTAGTGTAGGTATGTAAAAGGGTTTATTATATTACTGTCCTAATTACAGTACAATATTTGAATTGTTTTAGCTATAATATTCCAAATAGTTTTTATAATGCCTTATTTATGTATTTCTCCATTTATTTTCCTCATATCGTAAACTCGATCGGTTAAAATTACTGCAAGCTCTTCTGACGTAGTTGTTTCAAATATTTCATATTTTCTTGCTTTGCAGAACTGTATAAATTGAAACTATGTCGATGCTTTCTTCGTTCAACATATTATTTGAAGAGAATTTTTGTTGGAGCACATTATAAGTACATTTCAGTTAAAACTTTTTCTTTATATTCGGTTTGATGTTAAAAAATAATTTGAAGAGTAACACATTTAAAGCGGCAAAATTTTGACGTTAAAATGACATTTTATTTTGAGGATGGGGGAAATAATATAATCTAATAAGTTATCATCAGAGACAACTGTACTTGGTCGTTATTTTCAGAAAGATGCGAAAAGTATAAACATGTTGGTATCATCATAACTTTTTTCCTACCTATGAAATTTAATTTTTTCTCCACCTAAAACATCTCTTTACGCAATTTATCGCAGAACACGATTACACCATATTTAGTTTTTACGAATCATTCACATACACTAACTAGATCGCACAAAAATTCAAGAAATCAATCAATAATGTTAATACATGACATTTACTTCAAAGTTTGTTTACGGCATTTTGTACCGGTATACCCGTATACCATCCTTTGTATTACCGGTATTTGCCTCAACTAGCTTCATCTGCCTTGCACACATCAGCGCGATTGACCTCTCCTTCTAAGGCCAGTCCATAGTTTACTAGGTCTATGAATTAGTTGCATCTTTCATAGATTGTTATCAAAAAAGTGTTTTCGAAGACAATGAGCGATTCAGAAGAAATTATTTGTACTTCTTCTCCACTGAAAGAAGCCGCCGAAAGTTTGGAAAAAGATTTGTTACCTAAGAAGAGTCGTGCAAAGTACGATAATGTTTATGATGTTTTCAAGAGTTGGTGTTCGCAAAAAGGTATTCAGAAAGCTATTTCTGAAACTATTGTGTTGGCATATTTTAGCGAAACTGCCAAAATTAAAAAGCCGATAACCCTTTGGTCCATTTACTCAATGTTGCGTACTACTTTAAATATTAAAGTTATTGGCATTTTTGAAACAATGCAGCGTTTTTGAAGAATGCACCTGATGATATGCCACCTATTATAAAGGTTGCACTCATAATAATTGGTGTATCAGGTACTTGTCGAAGTGGCGAAATGTATAACATGAAATTGGCTGATGCTAATATCGTGGAAAATAAGGTTCACATCGAAATTTATACATCAAAAACCTACCAGTCAAGGGTATTTATAGTGAGTAATGAAGAATGCGTAACGTTAATTAAAGCATATGTTGCACTTCGTTTAGTCGTTCTAAATGAAAACAACTTCTTTTTACAATTAAGATTCGGTAAAATCATTCACCAGCCATTTGGCCACAATTCAATAAGTCAATTTCCTAAAAAATTGCAGTGTTTCTAAAGCTTCCGCATTGTGAAACTTACACGGGACACTTTTTCCGAAGAACGGCAACCACACTATTGGTAAATAGCGGTGGTGACATTCTCCGGTTGAAGAGATTAGGGGTAAGGAATTTTTTCACCGTAGCGGAAGGGTACGTTGACAAATCTACAGATTCTCAGGTTCAAATCGCAAAAATATCTGGTGAAATGTCAAGCTCCAGTACTAAAAACATTACCAGGATGTTCAGCATGGATTTTAACAATTTCTGTTGCCGTTTATAATCAATCGATTACACTTAATTTAGTAAAA